GTTGTACATCCGGCCAGCGAGGGGAGTGATCTGCTCCAGAAATAGATGGTGAGAAGGCAACATACTTCCCTCCTATCGACTGCTGGCTGCCAGAAGAGTCTTCTGGCTGGAGCTGGGAGTGCGACTTGACCCGCATAGGCTTGCCAAGCAAAGAAGGGTTGAAGGGGTCAAGAGTACCTTGGGTGGTGGGCTGAAGGTTGTGACTGCCCTCAGCCGGTATTGAAGCACCGGATGCCCTAGGCGGCGTCGTCTCCTTTTCAGGAACATCTGGTTGCTTCTTTGACAAATCGAACCCCAAGCCGAGGTTCTTGAGAGTTTTACCCCCAATCGTCAGACGGCTGGGTACCGTCAAAGAGGAAGTCTTCCTCGCCTTGTTCTGGGCAGGCGGCTCCTCTCCAGGCCTAGGCCTGATTATTTTTGAAACAGAATGGGGCACCTTGCTCCTATCCTAAAAACAAACATAGCAATCAGGCGGCATTGAAGCCAAACGGAAATATATGTAGAAAGGGAAAAGGAACAGAAAGATACCTTCTTCTCCGCCTGAGCAGCAAGTTTTTTCTCCGCATTTGCCTTGCAGATTTCAGCGGCTGACTTGGCGGGTGTCTTGTCAGCTGGAAAAATTGCTAATCCACGCACTGCACAAAAGAACCCATCCAGTCAAAGAAACAAATAAAACAAGGAACAAAAGATAAGATAGAGGCAATCTCTAATGTGACCTACGTTTGTCAAATTGAGTGCTAAGCTTACAGACGCATAGAAACGCCTCGTCTCGAAGAAACTCGTGCCTAAGTACCCAATTTCTGGGTACACTTATTAAGTCCCCATTGGAGAGGGTTGTGGTGGTCTGTTCAAAGAACTTAGACTCTATTATTCGCTCATAGTCCTCATCCGGGATACGAGGCTTCTTGCATTTGTGACCCAGAAGGGTCGGCTTCCGGTTGTATATCCTATACTCCCGGTTCTCCTCTTGAGTAGGGGCAGAGACCAAGTAGAACCTGTTCTTCCAGTCAGACCACTTAGACGGTTTGTCCAAAGTCATCAGGTACTAGGGGTAGGTGGTCAATGTGTACCAGGCTCTCCAACCTCCTGGACTTCTGCTCAAGTAATGCATGTGAGCGAAAGCCTCCCATCCGGGGTTGATTTCCTGCATCTCGCAGGCGGCAATGTAACCCAATATGTTGACCCATGAGTTGGGGGTTAACTGCCAAATACCAAGGCCATATCCTCGAAGGATGGCCTTTATTGTGTTATGAAGGGGGAAGCGGAGACCAGCCAGGAATGCCGCCTCATAGCAGCCAAAATATCCGTTTGCGTTGGGCTGCTCGTCTTCCCAAACAATAGTGCCCATCTCAGGCGGCACAATTATTTTCCATTTCTTCCCAAGCGGGCGAATTTTTAGGAAGTCCTATAAATTATTTGCCATGCTTGCCCTATCTTTGGCAGAAACAGAGATAAGGAACGGGTCGCCTTTGTTATTCCAATTAGGCCTCTCCTCCGCCTCGCTATCAGCATCCGGTGTCAAGAGACTGCTGTTGCTGCCGCTCTGCTCTCTACCGGATGAGGAGGCGGTCTCGTCGTCGCTGGCACCCTCTTCTTGGTGTTCCAGCTCAACTTTAAGAGGCGAGGCGACATCTTCGTCGCCTCCCATTCCTATTCCTAAAATCACATCACTGGAAGTGCTTGGGGTGTCAGGCGGAGAATCCCTTGTCCCCTCCGTCTGACTGGGGTTAGGCGGCAACTCGCCTGAGTCTGCCTCCCTGTACTCTGGATCGAAGGCAGTCTTTTTTGTGCGAGCCATTGCGTCCTGCACAGAGACAGAGACGGTCGGTTTTGGAGATGAACAAGGAGACTCCCCGTACCTAGAGGCGGCACCCCCAGTCCTAGACTCAGCCGTACCAAGAGACCGGCTGACCTCTAAATTGTGGTGTGCCGTGTGTGTGATGGGTGAGGTCATTATTTTAAGGTATTTACAGCCAAAAGAATCAAAAATAAACTCCAAAAAAGACAACCAAGACGTTACCTTGAGATTGAATAGAAATTTGGAGACGGTTGTTGACCAAAGATACCCCAAACGGTATCACTTTGAGCAAACTGCAAATTGGCAAAAGAAGGAAAATTAATCACCAATGTTGCCCAAAGATACCACAGGCGGGAAAAGCCGGTTGGGTAAGATCGGCGAAAGCAAATAATCTGGGATTTTTATCAGATTGGGCACAGACCCCCCAGTCGGCATAAACCGGCTGAGTTTCGCAAGAAAGCTCAAAGAAATAGAGAAGCCAATACAGGCGGCCTGAAGGCCGGCTGTGTATTCGTTAAGCTAAAGGCTGTTTTAAGGCACCCCAGGCGGTAAAGACCGGTCAGGGGTCACAGCAAAACAGCTTAGAAAGAAATTGCTTGCTCACCCCCCCAGACGGTGTGAGACTGACTGGGAAAACAGCAAGGTAGGCCAAAAGAAAGTTTGATCAAAGATACCCCAGACGGTTTACACCGGCTGAGGGTCCATTGAATGCAACTCACCAATGAGATTGCTTGAAGATACCCTAGACGTTTTACACCAGCCGAGGGTCTATTGAATGCAACTCACCAATGAGATTGCTTGAGGATACCCCAGACGGTTTACACCGGCTGAGGGTCCATTGAATGCAACTCACCAATGAGATTGCTTGAAGATACCCCAGACGGTTTACACCGGCTGAGGGTCTATTGAATGCAACTCACCAATGAGATTGCTTGAGGACACCCCAGACGGTTTACACCGGCTGAGGGTTTATTAAATGCAACTCACCAATGAGATTGCTTGTTTGATACCCCAGACGGTGAAAACCGACTGAGGGTCTATTGAGTGCAACTTCGATAAGTGCTAGAATATAACTCAAACGATCTACCCCGGTTGAGATTTTCAATAGACGAAATTTATAAAAAATTGCCTAAAAAGCTCCAGACGGCAAACGCCGGTTGCAGCATAATCAAACATCCAATCAAAAAGACCGATTGAGTCAGAAGGATACCTTAGTGAGACGGACTGTGTAACTCAAGCGGTATCCGGAAGAACGACTGTTTACACAAGTAAGCAGGCGGGGTCAAGAGCTCTCGTTTTTTCACTCAAGAAATTTCTCTCAAAAATGACAAAGTGAGAAATGAAAGGAGGGGGATGCCTATTTATAGGAGATCCCAGAAGGTGAACCGTCACCTCCTCTTTCCCCTTAGTTTGAAATTTGAAAAAAGAGGGGGAGGGAGGCGAATCGTCACCTTCCTGCTTGGTTGGCACGTGTCACAGGTGCCACGTGTCATAGACACGTCAGCACCCGTGAGGGAAAAATGTTTAGGGTATAAATTACCCTGGACACGTGGCCCTATAGGGGTCTAACACGTGTCATCACCCTATTGCACCATGGGCATCCAACCAATGGATGCCACGTGGCATTTTACCCCCAATAGGGGAGCAGACCCATCTGCTATAAAAAGAGGAATCTACCTCATTTATTGGTATTCATAAATACGCCCGCAAAACCCGAGCAAAATTAATTGCGGAATCTCTCGGAATCCGAGAGAACCAATCTACCTTCTGCACGTAATTTCATCCGGAATCATACTAACTTGACCTTCGGAGGCGGAACTCCACCCAACCGGAGTTTCGTGGTTTTGCAGGTACAGAAGTCAGGCGTACATTCCCGGTGCTGTAACTCTCCCGTTGGACACCTCAAAAAAAACCCCGAAACAATTAATTTTGTATATATGAAATATTAGAATTCTATCGATAATAAAACTCTATACAACAATTTTATCTTAAAAAATCTATCCAAAAATCGCTTACTTAGCATCATCGTGTCACAATAATACCTATTTGTCGCCTACGTGGCGCGACACTTGGCGAAAAATTGACATGCCAAGTGTCGCTGTCTCATGGCTTGGCTGCGAGACCGACTTTAATTATTAGTAATATATGATATGATATGATATGATGTACCCAAAATTATTAAGATATACACATAACAATTACATAGAGTGATAACACAATTTTCACGTAATAGTAATATACTAGGCTATCCCAGTGCGATGCACAGTCAAATTTTTTTTTTCTTTTAATTATATTCTGTTGCATTACATTGTATATAAAGATCAGAATTAGATATTAAAATAATTTACAATTAAGAAATTATATGAACCACATTATTTACAAATTACAATTAATAATTTAAATAGTTGAAAGAAAATGATATAAAATGCATATTTATTGAAATATGAAGAAAAAAAAGGTGGAGTTAAACAATGACTGGCATCAACCATGAGTTGAACGTATTCAACTAACAAATTATATTGGCATTATCCATTTCGATCGATTCCAATCAAAATTCAGTGACCATTTCTCCACCATCGGTGGTTTTATCATGGTGAATGATCTGATCGAGCTTGTTGCTACGTGGACTAATTTCTTAAAGTAAAATAAAAAATAATATATAAAAAATTGAATCAAATAATAACAATAAACCTAAAAGAAAACAAACCAAATTATATTGATACTAGGTGTGAAGCCCGTGCGATGCACGACTTTGTTTTTATCATTATTTTAGATTTGTATCTTATTATATAATAATAATAATTTATTATTATTATCATTGGTAAACTATTATAATTGATATAACAATTCAAAAATAAAGGTAAACAAAAGTATTAAGTATATGACTTGCTGTTAATAATAAAACATATATAAAAGAAAAACTATCATCTAGAATCTCGAAAGTTGTTACATAATAAAAAAATTAAAAAGCTAACATAAATATTATTTGTTACTATCATCTAAATCTCTATTTCTTGAACATGTTGTTTTATTATGTTTCGAAAGAATCCTTGATTCATAAAACTAAACCTGCATCATACACAAAGTATGTACACAAATTAAAGTGTTAATATTAGTATACTATTAAATAATCTATAAGATAAAATTAGAAATAGTAAGAAATATCTAAATGAATTATATATATTCTAAAAAATATATACCTTTATCTTTTTGATGCGATTTGTTCGGATGAATCATGATCCTTTTCCGTTGAATCAATATTATTTAAAGGGCGTTTTGCGGTTTTTTCAATGACTGTAACTTCATCTTTTGAAGTATCTTCATTATCTTTTATGACATCTTTATTCTACATCAAAATTATTTATGTAAAGTTTTAAGAAATTAAAATTTTAAATTCATGACTTCTAAATAAACATTAAATACTTGTAACAAATATTTAGTACCTCAATGACACTTTTGTCAAAATTTCTCATCACCGTAAAAGTTTGTCGAATTGCTGTATGATTATAAGCGGGGATTTTAACTTTGAACACTAACTCACTTCCAATGATATTTGCAATCATATTTGGAATTTGTGTATCACCATTTTCATTGTTATTATCATCATCATTATGATCATTGATCTGTCAATTTTAATTGAAATAAGAGATAAAAGCATTTGTAGAACAATTTAATCTTTTAACTATTTTTAAAAATTAATTATTAAAACCTTTTCATAAGTATGAGCCTCAAAAGGAGTAATTGCATCTTGTCCTATTAGTTTCTTAGCTTCTTCATCAAAAACTACAAATATTGTTGACCCACTATGATCGATTACACTAAGCTCCAATCGATATCTGATTGAGAAACAAAAATAATGCATGAAGATATTAGGCATTATATAATTTATTATTCATTTAATCTATTATTGTAATATGGATAAAGAAGAAATTTGAAACAAATCTTGGGATGGACCTTTCAATTTGTTTCTCACAAGGAATGCACCAAAAATATGTTTTTCTTGGAGTGATACGTCTTTCACATGTTGGGCATGAGATATAATACCAACTATTTTCACTCATATATAATTGTATCCACTTTAGCCATGCAATAGAAGATCAAATCCTATATGATTTTAAAAATAAAATTAGGTTTGAATTTAAGATTTATCATATACTTCGTATTAATTATAAGAAAGTGATGTATTGAAATACCTTTTCTAAAGTTTTTTTTACATGATTAATAAGCGTTAAAATATCAACTTTTTTAGAGTTGATTTCTTCGGTCCAATGTTGATATGCTGAATTTCAAGTTTTCCAATGGTAGCATTATCTAACTTCTCACTGCATTATAATGATCATATATAAGAGATATATTTATGTAGAAAGAATAGCATAAAAATTAAAATTATTGAAATAACATGCCTCCATAAAGATTTCAATTCATCAACCTCAGAAATTTGAAGATCAATATAAATTTTGGTTATTGTAGAAGTATTTAGATTAATTTTCCCTATAAACAAAATGACAATTGCAAATTAGGTTATTCGTTAAAAATATTAAAAATAAAAAAAGTTATTATAATGACTAATATATGATGCTTACCATTAAAATATTTGACCATTGTTGAAGTAACAACTATACCAAAAGGCTTGGTAGAATCAACAAGTAGGTCTTTTTGTCTTGAATAATAAGGAAATACATTATCCCAAATCTTTAATTGGATTCGTTGTCCCCTAACCATGATATCAAAATACAAATAATTTACTAATATATCTAAAATAAATCAAATATAAATTATCTTACAATAATAATATATACAAATATATTAAAATAATAATTACCATTTGTCTTCTATTTCAATTGAATTTCCAGTTTCGTTTACAACCATACCAACCACATCTTATAAGACAAAGTGATATATATAAAAAAAAAAAAGAATGATGACACTATAAAATTTTTTACAAAATAAAAATTGAAAATATATACCAGGGAGTGTTGCATACTACGAAACTGATCTAAATATTGCAATTGAACAAAATCAAATCTATGCAACGGAATTTTATTATTATCTGCAACGCCCTTGACATTTGTATTTTGAAAAATTGTATCATTATCTTGTTATCGCTCACAACACGATATCCATTCTTGTTAAGTACAACAGAAAAATATCGAATTATGTAAATTTTGCCTTCAATTAGTTTTAAACGAAATTGTTGGATAAATTTTCCTTTGATTGAAGCATGGACATAATCACCCTACATATGCAAAATAATATTGTATGTTAAAATAATATTGTAAGTTACACAATGAATTTAAAAAAATATTATATATTATTCAATGAATTTAGAACGATAAGTATTATCAAATAAAATAAATAAAATTAAAGGCATACCTCTTTGTCAATTAAAACCATGTCCAAACTAATCAAACTATTATGTTTCCGAAAGTTCAAAACATCAAAAAGCCTTGATACGCGTACTTTAATTTTTCAATCATTTTTGGAAGAATTAAGTTCTCGAATCGACGAAGTAGACCTAAGAAAACAATGCAATGAAAAAAATAGTTAAAAATAATATTACCCATAACTACAATTTGAAAAAAAAATGAGTTTAAGAAATTAGATCGACATTTTTTTAAATCACAATACGAAATCCCAATTTGTTTTATATGAGGTATTGTGTGATTCTTTGGTGGTGCGTGAATTAAATTAATGCCTATTTATAATAATAACAAATCATAAGCTAATTAAATCAATTGATCTTTTTTTCAACTTAAATTTTATCATTTTTCAAATTATCGTCAAAGGCTAAAACAAGGTTATTTATTTTTTCTTATTAATATTTAAGTATATTAAGTTTTTTTTAAAGGATTAATTTATTAAGTTTTTTTTCTTATTTGATAAACATAATAGTCAAAATTTTATTATGTCATTTATTTTAACTTTATTTATTTTCATTAAAATAATTTAGATGGCGACATAATTTTTAAATTCAAAAATAAAATACAAATCTTTCTTCTTATTTGTCGAATTAAGTATATTTTATACGTGGCACTCCGAATGCTATAAAAAAATGCCTACTTTATTTATATATATATATATATATATATATATATATATATATATATATATATATATATATATATATATATATATTAGATTTTCCAAGTTATACATATAATAAAATGTAGATTTTTTAAAAAATAAAAATAAAAAAATCATTGATGACATCATACATGGAAATTTTTTTAATTAGGGAGCGACACATAAGTTAGGGAGGGAGTTGATGATGTCGTCAACGTTTTATTTTAGTATTACTTCAAGTTAATAAATGATACGAGTATCATATTAATCAAGATACGAAGAGATATGTAAATACAATGTATTTAATCATGTCGTGTCTTATCGTGTTTTTCACTATGATATGTTTGTGTGTCTATTCCGCTTCTCCACCCCTAACCCAAACTTATAAAACCATTATTCTTAGTCTCACACTCTCTCACTCTTCCATTTCTTCGCTACTTGCGCTCATTTCGAAATCCAGGTCTCACCGACGACGCGGACAGAGTAACGAGGTGCTCTTACCGGCAGCGACTCAGATTATCGGCCGCCAAGGAGTGTTATTTCCGGCGACGCAGCACTCAGTAAAATCTGAAGACCAACCTGGATATTCCCAGGTAAGCTTAATTTCCCTCTTCAATCTATCTCATTCTTTCGCAATTTACTATTTTATTGCAAATTTATGCGATGATTTTTTATTTTAGTACATTTTCTCAGAATTTGGTCATTTTATGATTGTATGATTTGGTTATAGTTTATTTATGAATTTGTTTGTGTATTTATATATGAAAGGATGTAAATTGTTTCAAATGATTTTATTTTTGTAATTCAGTTGCAATTTGGGATTTGGGTTTTAATGGTGGATTGATATGATAAATTGATGATTGTTGCATTTGATTTTTAATTTGTGGATTGAAGTTTCTCAATTTTGAGATGAATGATGCTAGTCCAAATTTCAGATTGTATAAGGCTCTAATTGAATTTTATCGAGAATTTGTGTATAAATTAGGTTCTAATTGAATTTATTGAATAGAATGGAGAATTTGTGTATAAATTAGGTTCTAATTGAATTTGTGTTTGAGCAATAGCTCGGAATCCTAGAAAGGGATATTTCAAGTTTTTCTTCAAGAAGGATATGTAAAGAAAATTGAAAGTCCAAATCCTCTTTCTAGAATTCCGAGCTATTGCTCAAACACAAGATGCTGAAGCAGAAGTTGGAGATGGTTCAAATCTAAGGTTTTAAGCTGTAATTAATCATGAAGTAAATGGTATGTTCTAAATCTTCCACATGACCTGGGAATAAGGAGAAGAATGAGTGATTTTTATTCAGATGACAGAATTATGGTTAGTATAGAGTATATTCAAGGAAAACCTTGTCAATACTATACCTATGACTTTCCTCAAAGACCTTTTGGAAAAGCAATGCGCCAATTCAGCTCTAAATGGTGTGGGAAGTACAGAATTTAGCCAATTTTGAAAGCTTTGTTTGCTATCTATTGTAGAATGAGACTACTTGTGTTAATGAGGATCTTCGAACAATATGAGCAAGTTTTAAGTCATTAATGAAACCAATTAGAAGCTTTAGTTCGATGTTTGAGGTGGCTTTTACTACAGGGGATGCCTGGTTGTGGTCATTATGAATGTGAGACTTATTTGTTTAATTTTCTTGGTTATTTGAACTATGCTTCAATGAATATTCTGATGTTCATAAAGTTGGATTTAGAAAGGCTCCATTTTACTTTCAAATGGTAGCTCCTTCAATTCTATAGGATAATATGAATGTTTGTGCAAAAGAGACAACTAACACTGTTATTTAAGAACTGCCCATCCTTTTTTGATGAGTGTGCTGATCTATCAATAAAGACCAAATTACTATCTGTTTTCGGTATGCTAATACTAGAGTAGAAATAACAGAGCATTTTCTTGTTGGTATATTGTGCATGTTCCTGATAGTACTTATTTGACATTGAAATCTGCAATTGAGTCCTTTTTTTTTTTTTTTAAAAAAAAAATTAAATAAATAAATAAATTATGTTGCCTTCTCTAAGTCTTTTTAGTGTCCGAATTAATATTATAGTGATACTAGCAAAATGCAAGATGCAAATTATGACCTTAAAACTTTAATCATGAAGGTATCTTCATCAGCATATCATGTTCATTGCCTTGCGCATGGACTTTATTTGACACTGGCTGCTGTTGCTGAAAAGAAGGCTCATTGTATTTGATTATTTGTCAATGTACTTGCAACACTATTGACTTTTGTGGGTGGTTCAGCTGAGCAGAAAGAGTTTCTTTGACAGAGGCAAGCTAAATGTGTTGTAGAGGCATTCTTTAAGATAAGGTTGAGACATTCGGCTGGAGAAGGCTTGTAACAATTGTTTGGGATCACACTTTAAAATGATTTGGAATGTTATTGGAATTTATCCTGTTATTCTTGAGTCATTCGATGCCATTGGTGATTTTTTTGTTGAAAGAGGTGATAAAAATAAAGTCAAGTCACTTACATAGGCATTGATGTCAGTTGTTTTTTGTTTTTGAGGCATTCATGATGATAGCTATATTTGGGATAGAGAGTGAGTTCAACATCACTTTACAACATATGGATCATAATATTGCGAATGCAATAACTATGGTTGACATACTAAGGAGCATTTACAGCATTTAAGAGATGATGAATGAGATTCTCACAAGAATAAGGTCACTTCATTTACGGTTAAGCATGGCATAGATTTTTTTTAATACGGGGGGAATGTATGTTGTTCCAGGAAGAAGGAAAATTCGTGTTTATAAGTCATGAGTAACTAATCTTCACCATTTTCGAGCTGAAGTTTTTCAAAGTGTTATTGATCAACAATTACAAGAACTTGAAAAGCAGTTTGATGAGGTAAGCAAAGGATTATTTTTATTTTTTTTAAAAAAAAATATGTTTTGCTTTAATCCAACTAATCAATTTTCTTCCTTTGTCATAAGAAAAATTCTTTGACTTGCCAAATTTTTCCAATGAATTTTCAATTTTTGATTTGTTAAATTTTTTTTTTTTTTTTTTTTTTTTTTTTTTTAGCATTTGCTTATGAATTTCATTGATGATATTCAAAATGATGAGAGATTTGAAAGGTGAGGAATCTAAATGAGTTTTCATGGAACTTGTTGAGACAAGGAAGAGTGTAGCTCATTCAAAGGTCTACATGCTTTTGAAGCTGGTTTGGCTTCTCTTCGTGGCAGTGGCTACTGTAGGAAGAGCATGTTTTGAATATCTTACGTAAAATTTAAAATGTGTATTGTGCTAATCATTTATACAATGATTGTTTGGCTACTACTTTAGAGAGCTTTATTACTATTGTTGATGCTAATGTATATTAGTTCGTAAATACGAGAATTCAACATGAACAATTGTAAATATATTTGCAAGTACTATAAGGTTGTAGCTTGCAAGTTTTTGACTTTTTTAATTTAAATTTTCATGAATTATCCATCTTTTCTTCCTCTCTTGTATATTATTGTATTGACTGTTGTTAAGCACTAGAGTTAAAAGTGTTTTCAGAAATCAGTCAAATCACCATTGGTTCATTGTTTAGCAGCCATTGCATGCCAAGAAGAAAGGATTTCATCCTAACTTTTTAGTGGTACATTTTGAAAGATCATGGAACTTGATTTCACTGTTGATGATTGGGAGACTGATTTGTTGGGTTTGTATTTATGGAGTATACTATTGCAAAATTTTAGGGAGCTTAATGGATGTTAATTTGGAACCCTTGTGATAGGAAATCTTAGTTTTTTGCCCTTTCCTAACTCCAATCATGGTGGTTTATATTACCATTAAGAGGAGGATCGTTTAAAACTACTGTATTACATAGTTGGGATTAGCCTTTTGGAATTTGGCTAGGGATTTGGCATTTTACTATGTGATCCGCTGCGCTGCCTTTGACCCCTTTGTTGGATTTAGTTACTTCCTATTTTCCGTTTCCAAACAACATTTTAAGTAAACAGTACACTATGTTGCTGCCAGACCTAGTTCATTTAAAATCTACTCAAGGAGGATGAGCTCTTCGATGAGAATAAAAAATTTGTCCTTCGAGTTGGTGGAATTGTGATCCACATGCTTCTGTAAACTGTGTTTTACATGGAATTGGTGTGAGCAACAGAGAAACCTAGGGAGCTTAACCAAAGGAGGTGACAGTAGAGGAGGTGGAGAAATATAAGATGACGTAGTACCAGTGATAGGAAACGAATCATTCACTCTATTCATTAGGTGCTCCAACAATGCATACATAGTCTGGGTGATGAAAGAGTATGCTGTCCCGGGTGTTAGGAGTTGTATAAATATAAAATTTTGTTGATGTCTGCTTCTTGGACTTAAAGTATGCCAAGGTACATCTTGCCGTTAAAGGTGAAGGGATAAAAGTTGTATGATGTTGTAAGGAAGCTGACCAAGGATCTTGCGTAATGGAGCAGTATACTCTTTGCTTTTAAAGACTGCTTGCTAGGGGTAAAAATTTTAAAGACTGCTTGCTATGAGCTGAAGCTGGAAGCTGGAGCATTCTCTTGCTTTTGTCAACCTTAGACTTCTATATATCAATGGTTACTTTACTTTTGTATAAGTGCAAGGAGTATCATGTTGTAATGTGGAACCTAAATCCTTCCCACCACTCTCAATCATAACCAAAACAAAGGAAGACAGGGGTGGGGGGGGGGGGGGGGAGATGTTTGTTGTATCGGCGGATTTGTTAATTAAATTACAGCAATTTAATCAACCACAAGTCCATAACTCAATGTGGTTGCAGAAATAGTAACTAATAGAAAGAGAAAACTTCTAAAGATTGCATTCCATACTCTTAAGGGCTATGACCACTAAACTCTGTGTCTGCATACTGCCATCTTCTATTAGCTGAAAGAGGTGAAGGAACTTGGCATAAATTGGGACAAACCCTGTAGGCTTTGAGTGATTCAGGCCGGTGATGGCATTTGTGATTCCATTAAACTTCGAGTTTCAGGTTAGTAGTCAAGCAGATTAGTTAAAGTAGGCATCCAAAAAATAGATTCAATGTTGAACATTTTTTGTTATAGGATGTCTATAAAAGCCCATTAAAACTAGTAATAAGCAAGCCAAGTTAGTATTTGTTAGTCAGAACAGTTAAGTTTGCATCAAATGAAATACTTGGCTATGATTCATATGCATTGTTGGTTATTATCATGTGTTCGTATCCATGGAGCTCTAGATTCTCTTTGTCAATCCCCGGTCATTCTAAGTTTCTAACTGATGTATCTGTACGCCAGACTGATGTACTATATTGCTGTAGCTTGGCATTGTATTGTATTTATGTAGGCATCATAAGATGTCTCATACATGATCCCTTCTGTTTTTTATCTGGGTTTTGGATGTTACGTCTGAATAGATTGTGACAGTAATGTGTAATGCGGAGTACACAATAGTTCCCGTGCATTCATGATGCCATTACTTGTACAATCGTACAATTATTAGGAAAACTGCTTATATTTGGTTGTAAACATGTATTGTTTTGCTCAATATGAAAACATATATACAAATTTACATCATTTAGAAAATGTACAAATCATTCTCTATAGTTTTGCACAAAGGCAAGATTTTTTTTTTGTCTTGTGCCCTGTGTTGTTTTAAAAATTAAGTCATTTGCTACATAACTTGGTGGTTACAATTTAACGAATTTGAAACGACTGGGTTAGATTAATCTCACGGTAATTTCAGTTGCAGGTCACCATGTAACTCTTGAACTAGAAGGAAGAGGAATTTCCCCAGTTATCAGGTAACCTCAGCTTCTTTTTACCTTACAGTTTTTCTTCATAACAATATGTCAATATGTATTACTCGCATCTTTCTTTGTCTGCCCTGAAAGACTTACGGAGTATAAGCTATTCACGCATGATAGTTAATTCAAATTTACCATGAGCTAATTGATAGGTAGTGTAGTAGATGAAAATATGAATTTACTCATTAAAACTGAATTAAACTAAGTTGATATTGAATATTTCATCAACCAAAAATGAATCGATCCAAATTAGCTAAATCAGAATAACTTGTTTGTCACGTCATAGTGTCACACTGATAATGATAATATATGCTACTAGAGAATGGTATGGGCAAGACATACACTTTATAACTTCAAAGGTCTCTTCTATTCTTGCTTAGGAGTTAAGATAGTTGCTCTGACTTGGTAAAGTGGGAAAGAGTACTCCGGTTCGAGTATTCGGGTTGTATTTAAACAAAAATGGCTCTTCTCCTTCCCGAATATATACTTTTCTTGTTTGTGAGGAAGGCATAGGCTTGGGGATTGACGTCAATGTCTCGAAAGGAATTTCTTTATCGCAATTAGATTAAGCTAGAAATTTCTAGTAATTTCATACAATATGCTATAGGATTATAAAATGCTATAGGAATATAAAATATGATTAAGGAAGGTACTTGGAAATCACATCAAAAGTGTATATAATAAGAAAAATCCACGAAACTTACGTAAAACAATAGTCAAAGATAACATCTACTCACCTCTAACTTTCTGACATTTAACTTGTTTAGCCAATCAATACTCATCCATTACCCCCATTATCCTTAATCATGCTTTAATTAAATTCCACTCATATCTTTCTTTACCTAGCTATTTCAACCCTTAAAAGTTCTTTGATTAATCAAGAAATTTAAGCTTCGAATTTTTCTGCCCCTAATTAACCTGAAAAGGATGATCGTTTTATGTTGATTCCTCATTCGTTTTCACTTGTTCTAGATGTTGAATCCTCGAACGGTGGAAGATGTTATTCAGGATTTTAAAGGTAGAAGAGCAGGGATGATCAAAGCTTTGACTAAGGATGTCGATGAATTCTATCGTTTGTGTGATCCTAACAATCCAAATCTATGTTTGTATGCCTTCCCTAACCAACAATGGGAGGTCAACTTACCACCTCCTTCTTCAGAACTTCCTGAGCCACGGTTAGGGATCAACTTTGTTAGGGACAGCATGACAAAACATGAGTGGCTGTCTATGGTAGCGTTGCACAGCGATGCATGGTTATATTCGATAGCATCCTATTTCGCTACCAAGTTTAAATTCGACAAGGCTGATAGGAAACGCCTTTTTAATAAGATCACTGAAGTTTCTTCTATATGTGAGTTGGTTGTGGATGGGAAGAAAGCTAGGAAAAGGCCCAAGACCGAAGCTGATGGTTTGCCTGAAGACATACTCGTTGAAGAAGTACTTGCAAAGCTGCCAGTACGCGACCTCCTCAAGTACAGGTCCGTATCCAAGTTGTGGCGGTCTTTGATCGATGCTCCGGATTTTGTTTATACCCATCTTCAAAATTACAAGAACAATTCCGAGGTATGTCACTTGTTGGTTTTGTATCGCCCTGCTAGGAGTTGGCTAAGAGATGAACGAATCTTGGTACGCCGTGGTGATACCTTTAGAAAGGTCATGGAACTTCAGTGTTTATATGATCATTTCGAAGGAGCTTATGAAATGATCAGTTACATAAATGGGGTATTTTTGGTAAAGAAGGGAAAATCGAGGGGATTTCGTGAAATTATATTGTGGAACCCTTCCATAAATAGCACGCTTAGTCTTCCTAATTCGATGTTTGAAGCTATGAAAGAGGCTACTTATTTTGTTCTTGGTTTTGGGTATGATGCCTCTCGCAATGATTACAAGGTCATAGCAATAATATATCCTCACGCCGAGATCAAGTACTATTTTGGGGAGCGCTATCGTGCTACTTTCCCGGGCTTAGTACAAGTGTATACACTTGGTACCAATTCTTGGAGTAGCAACCTTGGTGTTAGTCCTCCACCTTATTGGAGTGCTGGGCAACAAATTTTTCTAAATGGCGCGATACATTGGATAAACTTCGGACCAAATGTTACAAATGATGCTGATTCGTGGTTCAAGGATAAAGATTCATATATAGTTTCATTTGATGTTGAAAATGAAGTGTTCAAGTATTTTGAGCTACCTAAGGCCTTAAAAACTGATGAACAACCGAAGGAGAAGTTTCCAACAGTGTTAGGGCGATCACTTGCTGTATTTTGTGCTCATTATCAACTCCGGAATGATATATGGGTGATGGGAGAGTACGGTGTGTCGAAATCATGGAGTAAATGTTACACATTTACGTTGCAATTCGATAAGCTCATGCATTTCAAGACCAATGGTGAATTATTGTTTGCTGTGGATGGGAAAGGCATAAAATCATACGATGTTAGAAGAGAAAGGGTAAGAGATCTTGCAAAAACTTACTCAAGGTCTTCAAGTTATATAGTTTTTAGTTATGTGGAAAGTTTGGTGTTATTTAAACAGGTTAATAAGCGGCCATTAGAGTCAACTAAGCCATAGAAGCATGATATACTAGAACTTCTATTTCATTTGATGTTTAATTGTTTATCTATGTTTTGGCTAGGAAAATTAGATTCTGATTATGGTCTTACAATTTCATAGTGATTTTGTTTTCGGACATAATAAGTAGGCGGAGTATTATATTTGGTTGTTGACATTTTAGGTTTCTTACCTAACTCTTTCGGATTTAGGTCTATAATGGGATTGAATCATCAATAAACAAGATGTTTACAATGATTTCATAGCAAAGTTCTTGCTTTGTGTTGTTTTCTTGTTTTTGCAACGGGAAACTTTGGTCCTTCTCTTTCTTTGAATTCTATTTCAACATATTAAATTGAGGAAAATTACCCATGAAAATGTCATATATTACTTATGTGTCGCCTCAGCTAATTAGATTTCAATTTTCGATTAATTTAAGGATCGCAAAAAAGGCCTTAATGTGGTGCAACCATAATATTGTAACCAATTTGGACATTTGGTCATTTGGTCATGTACGTATAAGTGGGGTTTCCATTGCCATGTCTTCATGCATTTGGGTCCTTTATGTACTACTTCAGTCAGATTTTGGTGTTTTGGAAGTTTATACTCGATGAAATCTCTTGCTATTACTAGTATGTTTCTGTAGTAACACTTTTACACCTCGTTTGCTACACATCTATGTGCAATAGAATTTCCCTCATTCTACCACAGATGGCAATATGATCTCAAATTCTCAAGTATTTTATTTTAGTTTTTTTTTTTCTTCCAAAATCAGGCGATTTAATTTACTTCTTGTTCTGATTGTGATTATTATGTTATCAAGGGTATTATACTACGTAGTATTATTTTTACATAGAAATGATTTTACATTAGAAAATTAATTATTTAAATTGACAATAAAATGTAAATTGTTACAAAGAAATGATATCGTAGCAACACTATCAACAAAATTATATAAAGTGTTGAATTCCTCTTCCTGTCGAATTATTAATAAAATAAAAATTATAATTAAAATTAAAAAAAAAAAGAATTTAGCCCGTATGATGTACAGGTTAACTTTTTAAAAATAATAATAATAAAAATAAAATGGAAAGGTATGAGAGGAGTTTATGGTGTCTATTGCCTAGGGTAGGTAACGACGATTTGTATTTGTATAGAAAAAGTCTTTAGTTAGAGTATAATTTATGCTAATTTTGCGTGGCAGCTACTACTCGTATCACATACAGTATACTTTTATAGGGTTCATTATTTCAAGGGGTTCTTTTGAAAATAATACTACGGGAAATAAAGAAAAAAAACAAAACAATTAGCATGCCTGGCCTAATCTATATATTCACGTAATTGCTAATACGTCTATTATAAAGTTTCATGATTGATTATTAATTTATGATTGGTACCATAAATATACAAATATTGACCATATATTATGATAATTACTGTGGGATTCATTCAACGGCTAATTGGCCTCCATTTCCCATTATTTTAGAATTAAGAATAGGTTATGTCTTTTGCCGATCAACTTATCATTTTGTTGGCCGCTATTGCATGCTGTAGTTTAATTTTATAAGACAAAGACATGACATCGTTTCATCAGGTTGGGTTAAATATAGTATTATTAATTGATGACTAAACTTTCGGTCACAAATAGATAAGTACTCCATATTATATACGAGTATACGGGTTATACAATTTAAGTGGTCGTTTGATTGGATTATTTGGAATCGATTTTTTTGGTCCGCTATTTGCGGGTTAGATACTTAGAGAGTGAGGGGGGAAGGATAAAGGATCCCTACCCTCAAAGTGTCTTTAATGGAGATTGAACCCACGACCTCAAAGTAAAAAGGTACAATCTTTACCACTAAATCAAACTTAGTTGGTACTATTTGCATCTATGAGTTTATGACAGGTTTTTTCCCGTTCACTATTCATTTTATCATTTTCTTCTGTATAAAAATGGTTTTTTGATTATTCAATTTTGTTTGCTTTCTATATAAAGTGAGTCAACCATTGCAAACTAAAATATTGCGACTCTCTGAATTACAAGCCTGTGGTGGACAATTAACATATGCACCTGTCTTAATTTGTCCTGCTTTAATTCTTGTATGGTATAAAAAGTTTATATTAGACATAAAATATTCAAAACCCTTTTTTGTTTAGTTGAAATTAAATATTAAAATTCCTTTTCTTAGGTGAACACGACTCAACTTTAATCAAGATTAATTAGGTAACAGACTATTTAAGTACAATTAATTGAGACGCAAAAAGTGTGAACTCCATCTTGTCTTTGAGTTTCCATTCAGAAAAGAAATACAGTACTAAAGATTCTCTTTTTCCCTTGAACGTGCATGACAAGCAAAATGTCCCAATCTTATTAAAGCAACTTTTAATGGGTATTGTGTTGAAGATTATGTTGCATAAACTTTTTTTCTATATCTTTGATTAGTGATTATATATGACATGTTTAGTAAAAATTGAAATATTACCTCTACAAGTAATTTTTCTATGTTCTACTCATTTGCGATAGATATGTACGATTAAAAGAATTTTAGAAAGATAACTTTAAGAAATACTAGTAGAAAGATTTAAAATAATGCAAAACACTAGAAAGAATACATGAAAATTTTATGACCCTTTTAAATCTCTAAGTCAATATAATGCAACTTTCTAATTTTATAGATGATTAATAATGTTCTGATCTGGTATGGTCTGATAAAAGTGCAGGTTTCAACAACCCTATAAGCACAATTGTAGTTCAAAATCTGAGCTCGGTCTAGAAAAAGGCTGACAAGCTCGACATTATTATGCGCGTTTGAACATAGACTTTAATGCTTAGGTCTGACCTGATTTGATCTAAATTTTGATTACCTCACTATCTATGTACAACCAAACAAATAATAAAACAAATGAGCTTATACCACATCCACCCGGTTTGTCACGTTGGACTTTTTTTTTTACTATTCGTATATTAACTTTGACTATAATATATTAGCATCGTATTAAAAATAATTATTATCATGAAACATGTTTATAAATAGGTAAGTATATTAATATAAAGTTTCATCATGTCAACTTTTTAATGAAGTATAAATATATACTTCTTATAAGGTCAAACTAATGCATATATGATAAATTTAAGTATGTTAATTATAGTGTAACAATAGAATTAATTATCATCAACTCAAATGGGGAGGACAACTTTCCAAGTTGAGGTTGAAGAAGTATGAAAAGTAGGAGAAGAAATAGTGAAAAAGGATGAAAGAAACTTGACAAAAGCACAGGAGTGAGTGACATGGACTCCTTGAGTTCTGATTGGACGCCTGCAATAAATATAAGCCAATGACATCATATCACTTCTTTATTTATTTTTCTCTCTCCTTTTCTCCAATTTAATTATATTATTCCACGTGTCACTTATCCATAGAAAACTTTTCACCATTTTGTTGTTTTCTAGTGGAAAGTAAAAGCTTTCCATATGCTCTATTTTTGTTTTTTTTTTAAATGATAAATATAGTCCTTAGAGTTATGTATAAAAAGCTAAAAAAGGAAATATTAAAGATAAATTAATATTAATTACACCAATTTGTACGTAATTTTATTATGAATTCTCATCTTAATTCAATTTTAAGAAGTATATTTAATGCTTATATATAGCTTTAAGGACTACATATATCATTACCCTTTTTTTTTAACATAACTGCTTTGTATTTGACATGTTTATTTAAGGATACGAGACTATAGACATGTTCTCTTCAACTTATTTCAGGTACTTATTACTTATTCTTTACTCCCTCGATCCCTTATCTACGTGCCTACTTCTTATTTGACACGGAAATTAAGGAACTTAGAGATTCCTTAAAAGCCATGATTGGGAAATACAAGTATGCATGTGGGGTTAGAGAGAGATAGAAAGAATGAAAAGATAATTGGTAATTATTGAAGAGATGGAGAGAGAAAGTGTTGAAAAATGATGTTAAAAGTACAAAAAAATAAAATAAAATAAAAATAATGACAACTCATCAAAAAGAGGAAATATTGTCAAAAAGTACATTCATTAAATAAAAATAGACATGTAATTTTGAAACCCCCAAAAAAGAAAAGTAGGCATATAGATAAAGGACGGTGGGAGTAATAAATTCAGATCAGACCAGACCAGACGAGAAACATTCAGATCAGAACTTTTAATCATCATTTACTTATTGCTAAATACCGTTAATTGCGTATTACATAAAATTATGAAAATTACATATTTAAAAAGTTCATAATGAGACGAATCTAACCAGATCCATTTTGATAATGTTTTTCTTTATAGATTAGTATTAAAATGCGGTCAAAATTTAGTTAAATTATTAAATCAGATCAAATTAGACCTTTTAAAAATAAGATCAGATCTCCTTGTTTCAGGTAAAGAGAACAAGTCCTTTGTCAATGTACTTTGTACAAATATGTTTTAAACATCAATAATTTAGTACGAAGTACTCCATATTTATAATTAATCAATAAACAAAAATTATTAAAATTGATGTGATATACTTCGTATTTGAATAATGTCCAAATTAAAATGTACTCGTATCAACTAATAAAATGGAGAAAATATTGATTTTTTGGAAATTTTGGATTGCAACTATTTAACTTTATATTATAATTACAGTTAACTTTAATTGTACAAGTTTAGAGGCGCACATAAAGTTATCTTTATACTTTACTTATTTGCATAAATGGCATGTTGATATAACTTATTACTTCGTATTGTTTATGATTAGTAGATGTAAAAATCCATTTAAGGGATGAGCTAAAAAAGAATACCATGCAAAAAAAATCCTACTTCATCCGTCCCCAAAAGTTCGACCCTTATGGCCAAAATGTAGCCCAAAATGATCATCCCATTTGCAATAAAATAACCTCCAATTTGCAACAATATTTGTGCAAAATTAACTTCCCCATGTAAAATTTTGTGTTTACATGTACTTTATTACTTTCTCTCTATTTTTTTGCAAATCCCATATAAACTCATATGGAGTATTTTCAATGCACTTTTACTACTTCTTATTTAACTTTCTTAATACCCGTGAAAATTGCCCATAAGGGTCGATCTTTTAGGGACGGAGGGAGTAGATTTTACTTTTACACGGGGTTAAACATTTTTTTTAAGCATTAGAATAAATAATTTCATTGTATTTATGTATCATTTAAATTATACATACTTATAAAATAAGTTTCAATATATTTCTATCATTTATATTAAACATTCTTGTAAAATATGTGCACAATATAAATATTCGTACTACTAACTTTTAAAACACTAAGTATGAAATTTATATCACTAAATAACTACAATATCATTGTAAATTTATGAAATAGTTAAAAATGAAAGTTGTTTTTTTAAGATTAAACTTTAAATAAAATTTAATTTTTTATTAATTATAATAAATTTTTCAAAGAGGGGTAAAATGGCCCACTCAAAAATTCCCAACCAAAAACACCTCCTCTTTCTATATTACATAGATTTATGGACCAATTAAAAATAAAAGTTATTTTTAAGATTAAACTTTAAATAAATTTTAATTTTTGACTAATTAAAATAAATTTTTTGAAGAGGGGCAAAATGGTCCACTCAAAAATCCCCTACCAAAAACACCTCTTCTTTTTATATATTACATAGATTTATGGACCAGTTAAAAATAAAAGTTATTTTTTAAGATTAAACTTTGAATAAATTTTAATTCTTTATTAATTATAATAAATTTTTTGAAGAGGGGTAAAATGGTCCACTCAAAAATTCCCAACCAAAAACACCTCTTATCTTTATACATTACATAGATTTATGGACCAGTTAAAAATGAAAGTTATTTCTTAAGATTAAACTTTAAATAAATTTTAATTTTTTATTAATTGTAATAAATTATTTGAAGAGGGGTAAAATGGTCCACTTAAAAATTTCCAACTATTAAAATATCAACTTTATATATTACATAGATTATACAAATATACTATTAAAATATCAACTTTGTATTTATCAAGAATTTTGAATAATATGAAGTACAGTACTAAATAAAATTATGCATTGGTAACTCGTAAGTGTGACAATGCAGGGACTTGTTAAACATCGCCCGCGTTTTTCTACATAAAGCCCACAATTTATAAAATTTTGACAACTTTGCCCTTGTTCTAATTTTAACCTAAAACGAAATTTTGTCTCACCCAAAATGTGGAACAGCGCCGGATCGCCGAGGGACACCAAAGAGCCGCCGTCGTAGCCGAAAAACGAGGTCTGAAGTGGTTAAAAATCAAGTTTTGGCGGCGAACGTCTGGCCGGGACGCCGCCACCGTGGATGGGGCGCCTGGCCAGGACGCCGCCACCGTGGCTGGGGCGCCTGGCCAGGACGCCGCCACCATGGTAGTGGCGTCCTGGCCAGGCGCCCCAGCCACGGTGGTGGCGTCCTGGCCAGGCGCCACCTCCTCGGTATATTTTTTGTAAATCTTTTTTTTTCGTTTTGGTTTTTTTTTTTTTTTTATTTTGTTTGAATTTTGATAAATTTGAATTTTTATTTTAAAAAAACAAAAAAAAATATTAATTTATTTTGAAAATATGCTTTAGTAAATTCAAAAAATAAACAAAATTAGAAAGAAAAAACCAAAATAATAAAAAAAATTTAGGAAACAAAAACATAATAAAGAAAAAAATTGCAAAGAAAATCCAAAAAACAAAATACATTTTAAAAAAAAAAATAGGAAAAAAAAATTGAAAAAAAAAATTAAAAAAATTTGAAAAAAAAAAGGCTACTGGCGCCTGGCCAGGACGCCACCGCCACGGTGGCGGCGCCTGGGCAGGACGCCGTAGCCACGGTGGTGGCGTCTTCAGTGGACGCCGCCATCGTGGCCACGGCGTCTTGCCCAGGCGCCGTCACCGTGGCGGTGGCGTCCTGGCCAGGCGCCAGTAGCCTTGGTTGTGGCGCCTGGGTGGGGCGCTGCCACCACGGCTCCTTCGCGATCCGGCGACTTTGTTTACTTCCACCGCGAAACCGCCTCCGGTGCCGCCACTTCCCGTTTATTAGCCATAACAGTGTGTTTTAAGATAAAAGTGTGTTTTTGATGTTGAGGGCAAAAATGTCATTTTATTTCAAATTTGTGGGCTTTATGTGGAAATTTGCGGGCGATGTTTAGCGTTTCACTAAGAAACGTCGTTCGTGTCACAACTTTTATTTTTGATTTTTTTTTTTTAAGTATTGTTATTATAAGAGGCAAAAGGAGAATGAAAAAGAAAGCAATTGAAAAAGAGATCAAGAACCAAGAGTGAGTGACTCAGAACAGCAGCAGCAGTTGAAGAAAGGAGAGAGAAAGAGGACTTATGCATCATCATCATCTGCTTAAAGACTTAACAAAAATACAAGGTTTTTCCTCTCTTTCTCTTTCTCTTTCTAATTTCTCTAATTTTTTCCTTCTAAATTCTCTCCTTAAAAATCCCAAATTGTTGAAGTTTTTACTGTTTTTTTTAATTGATAAATGCTGACACATTTTCCTGGTGAAGTAGAAGCAGAAGCAGAAGCAGAAGCAGCAATGGATATGGATTCATGGGCATCAAAAGTTCATACATCTAGGCATTTCTCTTCCCATCTCAGCTCAGGTTCTGTTTTTTTTTGGTTAGCTTGAACTTTTGCAAATTTTGGGATTTTGATTTGTTAATCTTATATGTTCGTAGTATAATTAGTGGGCTGTATTGATTTTTTTTTTATTTTTACAAATTGGGGATTATAATTTGTAAAATTTGCTTTCTTTGTAGTTATGATTAGTTTATTTAGAAATTATCAAATTTTTGGGTTTGAACTTGCTAAGAGTAACTTAGTGGGTGTAGGAATTATATTGCATAATTTTGGGATTGCAATTTGTTAAGTTTGCTAGTAAATTATGTATAATTAGTGTGTTTCAGGAATTCTACAGAATTATGCAAAATCTGGGTATTTTGTTACTGTAGTTTTTTTGCTAATAATTGAGTTTGTTTTAGAAATTCTGTGAAGATGAACTTTCTTACTTGTCAAATTTTGTAAATTTTGATTGTTAATGTTAACCATATTCTCTTTTTTAATGCTTCATTTTTATTCTTCCCCTATTTTGAAAGGATTTTGTTTTATCCTGGATTATCCTTATATATTTGGATTTTGTTAAATCACATAATTTAGAAGGAATAATGTAAGTGAAATTGAGTTAATTGTACTTAAATTACACAAGGAATTGATCTTTAAGCAGCCAACATGGAGTTGGAGGAAAGGGGGTCAGATGTTTAAAAGCAACCTTTTTGGGTGGTTTTTTTTAATGGCCCTACTTGTAAAGTTTGGTTGTCCCCTTGCCAAAAAAAATATCATACTAAGTATAAGAAATGATTCATAGTGTTTCCAATTTACAGGAAATAGATTAGTGCTGGATGATTCAGAAGTAAAGGATGATGCAAGGGCTTATTTCACTTGTCCATTCTGTTATATCGACATCGAACTCACTACACTTTGTGATCATCTACAAGGAGAACACTGCTTTGATGTCAAGAATGCGGTATGTGTATGTTTATCCTTGTCTGTTACTCATATCCTTTTTACTTGATGATGAATGAAGATTTATATTGGTAGACAATGTTTGTGTTGTGATGTCATTTTGGAATTTGGAAATGCTCAGCATTGAGCAAGAATCATTATAATGTGATTTTGAAGTACATTTATGACTACTTTGTGAATGTCTCATTGCTCATATTATCAAGTAAGGTTTTTAGTTCCAATGTTAACTTTCATTTGTCATTCGGTTCAAGGTACCAAATATGTTGAATTCTTCCGTTCACTAAAAGTTCTTGTGCCTAAAACATGCATTCTGTCCTTGATTTTTTTTAAAGAATGAATTATAGATTCCATTGAATTGAATTAGGTCCATGGATCTTAAAAAATATTCCTAGCACCACTACGTATATCTATTAAGGTTTTTTTATTAAATTGAGCTGTATAAGAAGAATGTGGCACTTCAGCTGATTCTACTTTTTCTTCGATATAATTTCGAACACATGTGATCTGTTACGAGGCACTATGTCTTGAATATGTAGTTGGTGTGCAATGCTACAAAGTAAGTCAATAATACCACTTCTTTACTTTGTTACTTATCCCATACCTATGATTTTCAGGTTTGCCCTGTGTGTGCACTGAATCTGGGAAAAGATGTTGTCGGGCATTTTAAAACTCATCATATGAGTTCTATCAAGGTATTGAAATAGTTTCCTTAACTACTAGTGTTCACTTGTTTGATAAATAGTATTATTATTGATCATATTTCTTCAACATTAGTTCTGTTTTCTAATATATTTCAGTGATTTACAGACTCGGAGAAGGTCTCATAAGTCAGGATTCTGGAACTTCTATGCTGGAAGAATGGCTGGTGGCTTGAGTGCAAAAGGTGGCACAGAAAATGTGAATGCTTTAACATCCGATCCACTTCTGTCTCCGTTTTTGTTTAACGTACCATATTCGGAAACTAAGGATGATCAATCTCAAGATATGTGTTCTATTGATGATCTCCCATCCATCCCAGAGAAAGAAAGGTACATACTATACTCTAGTTTATATACTTGGGCCAGAGAGGGTGTCTATTATTGTTCACTTGCTTGATTAATATGCTGCCATTTTCTCGTTCCTATTATGTTATCAGGTGATTAGACTACAATGTCATGTTTTGGGTTTTTCACTTTTTTGACTACTTACTGGCTTACCGCGCAATCAAGTTTCCAAAATGTTTTGCCATTTATTCACTCTTAATGTTCATATAGGTTAAAGTGAGGCCATCTCAGAGAATGTATTTCATTGCTTATGAGGTGTCTTCTGATCTTCTCTTGTCTCTCAGGTTGTGGGAGTTCGGCATTGGGCATGTTTCTTGTTGAAATAGTTATGCCTTGAAGAAGCCATTCTATTAGCAATTAGACCTAAAAAATACTCATATAAAATAATGCAAGACGAATACTACACTGTCAAAGTAGGAAATAATGAAGATCAAAAGAATAAAGAATGATGGTTGTCATCTTATATCATGATCTTTAATGCTTTGCAAGTCTACAACTGTAGTATGTATGCATTTATGAATTCTAGCTACATTGGTCTTGAAAACATACATCTCTGCTGTGGCTAATAGGAGGATATAATACATATGGTCTATTTACTTGCATGAAGCAAACATTTTCTGAGTCTGAATTGCTATCCCTCGGATCAACTGTTTGTATATTGCATCCATATGTATCAATCGATTTTGACAATGAGAGCACTAAGGTCCTGTTCACTTCACCTTAAAATAATAATATGCAGTAAAAATAATTTCAGTTCAGTAAAAATCAGTAACTTTAAAGAAGAAATATAATAAAAAATCAGTAAAATAATTTCAGTTCAGCAAAAATAAGGTGAAGTGAACAGGGCCTAATATTGATACAAGTCACATTCGGCACAGCTAACTGTAGTGATGTTACTGTTTTCTTGTGGCAAATGCAGCTCAAAGTCATCAAAGTTGAAACAAAGTGAAGAAAAGGAAGACTCAGAAGAGTTGAGGCAGAGAGCAGCATTCTGTCAGCAGTTATTTTTTTCAACCATAGTCTAAAATCCTTCCCATTAATTAATAGTGCTTAAATATGAGATTAGTTTCCTGTCAAGTTAATCTAAGAGATGTGGCACATGTTTCGGGTGCACAATTATCTTCCATATCCATTCCCAGGGTCTAGTAATTTCCACATAAATTAAGAGTATGTAATATTGATGTTTATTAAAGGCAATTAGATACAGAAATTTATTAATTTCATAGAAAGCTTACATGAACCAGCGAATCTAGCACGTAACATGTTTCATTGGTGATAGGGGCATGAAACAATGCCCCTATTACTAATGCAAACAACCCTTCCTTCTCACACACAATAATGACTATTGTTGGATTTGGTGCTAACCATGAGATGAAGTTATATTGTCATGGTTTAGTATAGACAACAATTGTAAACAGCCATTTTAAGTCAATAATGGACTAATGGTGTGTTGAGTAACAAACACCTATATGAACCAAACTCATTACCGGACTTTATCGGACTTGGACTCTTATAGTTCCAAATTAATTTTTATGACTTGGACACCCCATGCATTCCATTCAATTTTAAGATAATTATTCAAAATTGGTAAGCGTGGATTCCTTTAGTTTTTGGACATTTCTCGGCTTTATCGGACATGGCAAAAAAAAAAGGATCAGTGTGCTTTTCATGGACCCCGTGAGAACCTGGGAGGCCAACTGAATAATTGGAACCATTCACTTTGCATTTAATGTGTCAATTTAGCCATTTATCTACATTCATCCCTTCAACAATATTCATCCCTTAACATTGGGTCTCAAAATTTTTGTGAAGGCCTCGATCTCGTGTATAATCTTCAACTTTGACATTTAGAGAACATTTTCCGACGTAGCCACATTATGCATCGAGTTGTTATCGGGGTTCCCAAAGGACCTTGAGATGCCTACTTGGTGCCTAGAATTATCTCATACATTGGCACATCTTTCGTAATCATATCTTAAGGTGTCTTGGCTTCGCTTGGCCTTGCTTTGCCTTGCCTTGCCTTGGCCCTAAGCCAAGCTAAGACGTTACCCTCAATTGTCAAAATAAGATGTTTTGTAAGGATGTAATGTTTTTATGCTTTGTCCTTGTGCCCATTCCTTGTACACATGCCTCATGTCTAGGTAGTGGTGTGCCTTCGCACTTTGGCAATAGCATCACCGCCCCCACATGTCCCTTGACCCTCACTCATACTTGGCATTTTTTTAGCACCAAAGGCGCAATGTTATCTTCGTTTAGCCAAACATAAGCGTTTTTGTCATGGCCTAAGAGAGTTTTCTAGTGTACTTGGATTTGTCTAGGAACAACCTAAGTGGCCTGATCCGCACCTGCATTGGACCTCAGCTTGGTGCTACTTTGCAAGTTTTAAATACGCGTAGTTTTGCAATCATTTTCAAGGAACCATCCATCAACTGAATGGTCTAAAGTTACATAATAATATTATGACTACCTCTGTTTCATACTATGTGCAACAATTTTTTTTTTAGTATTAGTATCACTCGAAAAATCAGGATTAGTGGTAATAATTGAGAATTGACAACTGTACGGTCTTGCCAAAGAGTTAAGATCTCTAGATCAAAATTTAATCAATATACATTGTAAAAATTATGTATCTTTTTCGGTATGACAAAACTCACAGTTACATATAAAGAGCATAGTTATTCTAAAATGACAAACTTGCTTTATATTTTCCTGTTAATAGCTTGTATAAAATTATTTAGACTCTGCTTGTTACTTGAGCCATGGCCAAAAGACTTACAACAGCAGCACATATAACAGTAAGAAATTGGCGTTCCTTAAACATGACTTTGATCAAGTTCATTGCAACATCAGTAGTGATCTTCCTCCCATCATGTACCAAAACACGTCGACGTTTCCCCGAGAATGCTAATAACACAAGGACAGTGATCCAAGCAACCATTGTGGTACGCGCCACCACGATCAAGCATATTGAAACTAGGGAGAGCCCGGTGAGGGCGAGTATGACGGTCCGTAGAGCCGAGGGTGATCCAGCCTCGGTAGAGTAGGAGGATAAGAAGTATGTTACTAGGCAAAGGGAGAAAACAAGTGTAGTAGTTGATGAACTACTACTTGTTGTCATCATTTGGGTTTGAAAGTGATTCGAGGAAATTAAACCAATTTGGAGAAGAAATGAAGTAGATTTGAGGCTAATTATATAGTGTAAATTCAATGGAATTATGGAATTTGGAGAGAATTTTGGGAATCATGTGGTGCACATGGTCAGGTTGGAAATTAGGGGGTGACACCTTATTATCATAAGCTAATTAATGTCGGATTTTATGTAAGATTAATTAATTTATGTTAATTAACTCTTTGTTAATTGAACAGACAATCACACTATAATTGTAAATTTTGTATCTTGGAAATTATTTGTAAGTTTTGTAATGTGTAATCTTGAATACTAATTTGACATAAAATGTGTGCAAACTGAAAATTATTTACCAAATGTTATGTTCAACTTATACAACATATGGTAAGAATGTAAGATACAATTACTAGTAAGATTTTAGAATTTTTTTTATGTTAAGATGATGTATTATTAATTTATTATGTGTACAAAATATGGTAAGATACAATAATATTTTAGAATTTAGAATTTCTTATATTGATGACGTATTATGTGTACAAAAAGTATGGTAAGGTATAATCACAAGTGGAAAACATTAACAATATATCAAGAAGTTTTTTTATTTAATGTGATTATTACGGTGTGGACCGTGTGGTTATTAATTCTCAATAATAAAACTTTATAGCGGTCAATAATTTTTTTTTTCTTCCATAAATACTCTATATAATCTTGGGTAATGACTAATATAAGCATTAAATACATTTTTGAAAATTGCATAAACTTAGGAATTTATGATAAAAATACGCGTAAACAGTGTAATTAGTATGTTTTTTGTCATGATTTCCCAAATTTAAATAGTTTTCTAGAGTATATTTAATGCTTATATGTAACCCTAATGTTATGTATAGCATTTTCCTATAATCTTTGCAATTATAGAAACATATCTTTATAATGTCAAAAATACAAAATTAAATAAAAATTACAGAGAAATTAGGGATATATTTAATTTTCGGAAAAATTACAAATGGTGTGCGCGTAGTGTTAGAATGGGCCACTGGCCACTGATTTCACCGCCCATGAGACATCCAAAAGACCAAAAGGCTTAAATTTCGGCCTTTTTCTAATTTTCTTCAATTGTTCAATGTACAGCCTTTTATACTCGTTTCCCAATTAACTTTTTTCCGACCTCTATGAAACCTTCATTATTATGGTTCAATGTATATCTTCAAGGTTTTCATTTTTTCTTTGAATTTTTTTGATGGGATTTTTAAATTTATATTATCCTTCCTTTGATAAATTGTACTCAATTTTTTTTGTTATTTTTACCGATTTATAAGAAAATTAATTAGGCAAAAGCTAACAAACGCCTCGTGGCATGACATTGAAATAAGCTAACTAAAAGTAGAAATATTAACTTGAAATAAACATTAATTCCTATTAGACACAATATTTTGTAAATATTATGTGTACATAGTTAGCCTTCTACATTTTGGGAAAACCTAGTATTCCTAGGTCATATATATTATGTGAATAATGAATGCATAGTCAAGGAGATTTATCCTACCTTACATACTATCTTAAGCTTTTGGTTGAGTTGTTCCTTTAACATGGTATCAAGAGCCAGCGTGACACAAAGGTCACGGGTTCAAATCTCATCCACCCCTCCTTTCAAAGTGGAATATTAAACGTTGGGTATGGTGGGGCCCTTTCAAAGTGGAATATTAAGCGTTGGGTATGGTGGGCCCCATGCTATATCCACACTTCAAGCCCAATGAGCTCTCATGGTGAGGGGGCGTGATAGAGTATATAAATCGATCGTGGACTTCAACCATTAGCTCTATTTAAGGGGTTGTTTGGTTGAACTTCTTGGAATGGATTCTAAACCATGGTTTTATTTGTTTGGTTTAACTATTTAAGTATGAAATCTCATACCTGGGGGATTCTAACTCCACCCCATTCCATTGAAATCTCATACCCACCTACTCCCTAAATAATCCATACTATCACTCAAGTATGAGAATCCATTCCATGGTTAAACCAAACAAGTTTAGATTAGTATGGGATATAGAATCCATACCACCCAAGTATGAGAATCCATACCAATCCATTCCAGCTTAGTGAACCAAATGACCCCATAAAGGATTATCTAACGCCCCGGGGGCGTTCGTTAGCAAGATCCAATAATTATTTGAAACTTTATAGAGAATTAAGAAGAGTTTAATAGTATTACACGCATCAATATATTTCCATCACATACAAATAACAAAAGACGGTCAAATAATAGTCCATAGATAGTGTAAAAGCCCAACTAATGCAATTAAACAAGAATGAAATAGACAAAATATGTTTGAAAAACGTATTTTTCTATTTTAGTTTAATTCAGTCCAGCTCAATTCAGGAACAATGTCTAATGAGAGGATCATATGGAGTACAAATACAAAATTACAAGGATAGAAGTTTGATATTGGGTGAAATGAACTATGGGTTACACTTGTCCATTAAAAAGAGAAACTTTCTCAAGAAAATGTATACTTATTGGATTACTCGTACTTGTTTAGGTGACGTACTTGCCCGCTTTGCCCAAGTGGCCAACTTTGTGTATGTCAATCGACAAGTACCACGAATTGTACTCCGTATTGTATATTGAATCTTACGAGAATAGTTAACTAGAGAGACTGAATAGATTTCATCGTGTACATTAAGAAAGGTACATGGAATTATTGTCACGGTCTAACGGATGTAACATGAAATTTATTTACTCATATTAGTGCCCGAAGAAATATAGCGTATGTAAACACATTAATTAACTGAAAGAGTTGATATTTGAGACTGCAGTATAACAAAATAACGATCATAATATTTTAATTATTGATCTTAATTGTTCAAGTACATAAAATTCTCCAAAATGTCAACAACAATAAACCAATCGGTAGTGACAGTGCGTATGTCATTGACACAATGACGGGCACTGAAATTCCCTTTGATTGAAAGAGTTTAGTGTAACTACCTATTTGATCTACTACCCCATTACAAAGATTTCGAGCAAGACTAAAATCCTTGCCTTTCACTACATCTGAAATATGATCAACCTTGCCTTTAGCAATCTCAAATTGATCCAAGCAGTCGTTAAGGGTTTGTTTAATCGTCGAATCAGTAGTATTACCTTGATACCTAAATGTGTCTTGGAATAACAAGTCGATGGCATTTGTAGCACATAACATGGAATTTTCTATAAAAACAACATCAGTTGCATTTTCGCTACTTGAGCCTGATCTTAGACAATCAGTGCAAGCTTTTGGGTCTATTGTTTTGGAGCATACTCGCGCTATATGTCCGTCATCTGCTTTGATGAATATCAAAGCTTGGAAGGAGAAGATGCAAAGAATTGCAAAATGAACCGGAATTAAGGATTTGGCAGACATATTATTGGTGTTTGGTTGTTCTTTTAGGGGTTGGAAGGCTTTGGAAAGGGCTAGGCATTTGCTATGTGAAATGTGTAGGTTATATATAGCACAACATTGGTTGGTTGGTTGTTTATTTTCAAATGGAGATCACGAGTATCATCCAACGTGATTTTTGTGATTAAGATAGTTGATATCAGCATAACTTAATTAAAAACGTTTAGAGGGTTGTTTCACAATATATCATGTGATAAATCATACTCTCTTTTGTTTATATTCGTCTTATTTACGGAGTTGAATCTTTAGTAAGACGAAAAAAAAGACGGGTCACTTCAACAACAACAACAACAAAATAAGTTCCAAAATAATTTAAGAACGCATAACATTAATAGTTATAAGCTAGGATGCGCCTAAGAAAATTGAAACAAAGTGAAAGGGTAGGAAAAGAGAAAACATGAAAAATAAAAAAATTGAACCATTCCACCATGTTAAAAATTTGTTTTATATTAATCCTATGATTTTGTACCATTATCAATAATTTTCTTATAAAGAATTCCATATCACTGAAGATTTTTTCCTTAAAAGTTTATTAGATAGGATTATGTTCATATATTCAAATAAAAGCAAATAATAGAGTAAATAGATTAGTCTCGTGCATCACACGATTTGAACATATAAAATTCTTCAAATTGGTTCATTTTTCATATCAAAATTTTAAAAAAATCCCAAAACAAATAATACATCAAATATTTATTCAAAAAAAATAGAGCTCATAGAAAAATGGAATGATTAAAGGGGTATTTGAGGAAGAGAAATTAAATTATTATTGTTCTGGCTTAGCCTGTTTTTCGAGTTTCAGAGCTGTAGATGTTAATGGTGTGCAGACTTGAACAAAGGCAACGCAACTACACACACTGGAGAAGAGGATCCACTAGCTGTTTTATGAATGGACGTCTGATTAAACGACTTTATTAAGTGTTATAAGTACAATACCAAGACACTCTTATTTGATGCTATTATTCAAAGGCTTTGTTATGGAAATTAAAATTGTCTATGCAATTTTCAAAATCTCAAATAAGGTTGGAAAAGCGATCAACTACATCATCATGAAGTTTTAATGCAGACCAATCAGCTGGAAGAACTAGGGGGTTGTATTTGGGTTAAAATCTTAAAATGCTGGATATTAGAAACTTATTTACAACGAGGCTTTACTAGGTTGGAGGGTGTGGATCATGTCCAGTGTGAGTGGCTGCAAATGGGAAGAAACGCCAAGATGTCTATTTAGGTTTTGTAGGGATGCTTATGAACACGCAAACTGAAACAAGGAATGGTGAAACATAGCTATCCGCTGTAGATTTCAGCAATACTGCAATGGCAAAGGAAAGCGATATACGCATTCTACCAACAACTTGGTTAGGATTGTCAAAGCTAGAAATCCAGCCAATCCTTTCTAAATAGCTAGCAGAAACCTTTATGTTTCTTACATCCAGAAAGAAAAGTCACCCAGTAACTGTAAGATAGCCAACAGCACAAACAGGACCAGATATGCAGTGTAAAACAAGCATTCATCAACACCAGCATTGAAGGTTTACATGATGCTGCAAAGCGCTCATTAAACTGCTTTACAACACTTAACATAGCAGGAAATATGTTAATACATAGCAGTGGACAGCTAGCAATGGCTTAGGCAATCGCTTGTGGCAACAAAAGTGACAGAGAATCAGCTTTACTGAAATTAAAGGGTACTAAAAATGTACGATATGATTAAATGATCTATCATGTAGATACTCCACAAAAGACATCAACAACCATGTCATGCCAAGTTTCTCAAATATATGAGAACTCAATAGTCAAAAACTCAAAACTTGCTAATTTTACTAAACTGATGCATCGGTCAAACAAAGCACTACACAAAACAGAATTCTACACTCAGGATTTTTTTTCTATATAAAGGGCAGACATTAAAACCCTCCTCACGAGGGGAATATATAGATACTTATATATGTGTGCAGCTATAGATCTACTTTCAGATAATATTTATTTTTGCAAGTGCAACATGAATTAACATTCACAACTAAACTTGGTCAAAAATAGTGCAGCTTTGAGCTACATTCGAGCACTGTCTGGTTTTGCAACCAAAAAAAAAAAGGTGAATTTCACAATACTCAAAGGTCCCAATATTCCCAAGTATGATTTTGCAAGTTGGCTGCAAGCCTGCAACATAGTTCGATTCTTCGTGATGAAAGACACCAAGGTCCGTCATTGCAAGAATTGTAATCGCACTCTAAACCTCAAGAGTCATGACAAATTGACAATGCTAAACCAAGGCATTTATCATTGATGCAAATTCTAACTACTTGCAGACACATATAACCTTTTTCAGCTACTGCTCACAGTGCTCAGTAACGCACATTCACACACAGTTATTGTTCAATGCAAGCTGTCAGAAAGAAAGTATATTGCTGAAGCAAAAACATGTACCCCTTTGCCGGCATGAATATGAATAACAATCTTTATAGTCAAATAGAATACAATCACCAGCATAAGATCGATTGCAGATTAAAAAAAAAAAAAAACATTCCAAGAATGCAACTTGAAGTGATGCAACCATTACAAGCACAAATTCATATTGGAAAATTGAATAAACACTACAGAAGACTGAAATCAGCAAGGTTATTCTGTAAAAGGTGTAAATTAAATTGCACAATTATGAGAATATCTCAAATGTTCAACCCTACTCCCAAAAAAAACATGTAAAAAGACGGAAATTATACAGCTTAGGCCCAATCTCATTACATTCCTGAAGCGCCTAACCAAATGAGGGAACCCCTCCTACCTCTTCCCCGCAGGAAAACATACAAAGACACACACTACTACTACCATTACCAAACTACTCAATGATAGTCTGGATAACACCAGCACCAACAGTCTTTCCACCTTCCCTAATAGCAAACCTCATACCCTCCTCACAAGCAACAGGGTGAATAAGCTCGACCTCCATCTTAACTCGGTCACCAGGCATAACCATCTTCGACTCCTCATCCTTGTCATTCATAATCTTTGACACCTTCCCGGTGACATCAGTAGTCCTCATGTAGAACTGAGGCCTGTAATTGACAAAGAAAGGCGAATGCCTACCGCCTTCTTCCTTCTTCAACACATAAACAATGGCCGAAAACTTAGTGTGAGGGGTAATAGTCCCAGGCTTAGCAAGCACCATACCCCTCTGAATATCAATCTTCTGAATACCTCTCAACAACAACCCAACATTATCACCAGCCATAGCCTCATCCAAAATTTTCTGAAACATCTCAACCCCAGTAACAGTAGTATTCCTAGTATCCACCATTCCCACAATATCCACAGTCTCCCCAACCTTAACAGTCCCCCTCTCAACCCTCCCGGTGGCCACGGTCCCACGACCAGTGATCGAAAACACATCCTCAATAGCCATCAAGAAAGGTAAATCAGTCTGCCTAGTTGGAATAGGAATGTACTCATCAACAGCATCCATAAGTTGGTAAATTTTATCTACCCATGTATTATCCCCCCTCTTAAGACTAGGGTTCTTCACCAATTCCTCTAAAGCTAACAAAGCAGACCCAGAAATAATAGGAATTTCATCACCAGGAAAATCATAATTAGACAACAGTTCTCTCACCTCAAGCTCCACCAATTGCAACAGCTCTTCATCATCAACTTGATCTTGCTTATTCAAAAATACAACCATATTAGGCACACCCACCTGCTTCGCCAACAAAATATGCTCCTTAGTCTGCGGCATAGGCCCATCAGCACCTGACACAACAAGTATAGCACCATCCATCTGAGCAGCACCAGTAATCATGTTCTTGACATAATCAGCGTGTCCTGGACAATCGACATGAGCGTAGTGCCGGTTTTCGGTTTCATATTCAACAGTAGCCGTGTTAATCGTAATCCCACGAGCACGCTCTTCAGGGGCAGCATCAATTTCATCGTATTTCTTCGGGGCAGAGTTGCCCATAGACGCAAGCGCCATAGTAAGGGCGGCAGTAAGAGTGGTCTTACCATGGTCGACATGACCAATAGTGCCGATATTCACATGGGGCTTGTTCCTTTCGAATTTCCCTCTCGCCGCGCGGACGGTGAAGGTGCGGCGGCGAGTGGCGGAGGGTGCGGCGGCGGTGGATGTGGTGGTGGTGGAAGAAGAGGCGGTGAAAGAAGGGGTGAAAGAGGAGGAAAGGATTAATTTAGAAGGGGTTTGGGATTTAGGGTGGAAAGTGAGATTTGGGAGATGAGAAAGAGATTGTTGATTGTGGGGAGGTTGGTAAGCTAAAGCAATGGCGGCTCGAGCAGGGGAAGTAGCTGATAACGCCATGGAAATTTTGAGAGGATAGAGGAGAGAGAAAATGAAGGGGATTTTTGAGAGGGGAAGAAGAAGAATGGAGGAGAGTGAAGTAGTGAAGCTGGAATTTGTGTTATCTTGAGGAAAAGAGGAGATTTTGGGGGTAGAACTGAAAACAAAGGAGGGCCTCTCAATTATTTGTTGTGTGTGATTCTATCTCTTTGTGAGTGTTGTGGATATGGGCTTTTGCCTTCTGGTACTCTACCCTAGTTAAGGTTGTTAATCCGGGGGTTGTGTAATTCACATATTTGACTTTTATTCACTATTTATATGCTAATTTTGACCATTATTTTTTAAGTAATATATAAACACAAATTTTATCACCATATATATTGTTAAAGATATGAATATAAATATTCATAACATTAATGTTTAATCATATATATATCCAAGATTAAACTCGTGCGTTGGCATGTCGATAAAGTTTGACTGTGTCAATTATTTAGAAACGAAGGGAGTAGCTTCTATAACTTATGTTATGCATTAGCGCTTATTCTCATCGTCTAAAAGACTACTACGAAACTAGGCTACTTGAATTATAAGTAGCTAATGTAAAATTTTCTTAAAGGAGAGCAACAACTCAATTCAAATGGGAAAACATGAAATATATTAGTTCAAGTTACTACTCCGTATTAGAGCTTATTTTAATATTTAATCAAACTTAGATAGTGTTTAACAATTTAATTGTTTAATTGTTTCAATTTCTCTGAAATTAGACTTATCTAATTTATATTACACTTAATTAAATGAACTTTCTTGAACATAAACATATACGAAGTAAAAAAAAATTGTTAATTTATCCTTAAAAAAAAATAAAAAATTGTTAATTAATAAGATTTTTTAGATTGATCTCAGTGTATATTTAATAATTAGAGATATTAACAAATAACAAGTGTGTCTATCAAATCTTTGCATTTTAACCTTTAAAAAGAGGCAGATAGGGGTAATTGCTGGAAAACAAGCCAAAACAAGCAACAACTTCAAAAGAAGGCTTATCATGAAAAAGAAAGGACAATAAGACAAGTTATTGGTTGATAACTTGATACTGACTTGAAGTATTATACAACTTATTTATGGTGGAGGAAGAAGCAAAATCTAGTCCTCTTTTATGCCGCGTATCCACCCAAATCACCTCTTCTTCTACAAATATGATTTTCTAACATATTAAATTATTAATTACGAGTACTACTTATTAAGAAATACTCTGTAGTAATGATTTTTAAGTTTTACTTTCAAATCAAGATTCTCTTAATTCAATCCTATTCCTGTATCCTCTATTAACATTATTAATAAGTAGTATACTCTTAACCATTTATTCCATATTTTGTTATCACATTATTAATTCACCATCAATCGATTAATGTGATTATTAACGAGACAGCAAATGATTAGTTTATGTATTCAACTTTAAAAAATTAATCTTGTGCCTGAAATATTAAAACAAAATAGGTTGTACTTTGAATATAAATAGAGAAATGCACAACAATTACATATATACAATAAAATCAAACAAAGTAACCAAAGTATTCACTCCGTCAAAATCAGGACAAAATTGTTGCTTATATATGTTTTTAGTATGGTATACATCATCGTATACATGTAAGGCATATTTGAATAAGAAAACATAAATGATAATATATCTAGAGAAATTTACACCTACGGATCTATAGTAACAAAATCAATGATGTTGAATATAATACCACATAATATTCGACCGACGTTTAAATCGGTACAAATTTACGGTTTTTCTAAATCATTCTATAAAATAACAGCAATTCCAGATGTGGATTCCTGCTTAATATTTGTTCTTGTAGTCGAAAGATCAATGGTACTTAACGAACGTGTAAATATTCTTTTAACTGGTACTTGAATACTATCACCAACACCATAATAGTCACTAACATTAGGCATATGAGATATCATCTTCGTGTTGCACATGCTTAACACTTTTGAATGCAATTGAAGTGGAATACCTTTTAAAACATGAGAGATAGCCAACTTATGCTTCAACTTCATATCATCTAGTTGTTTTTGGTGCTGAGCAAGCAACTGATCAAGTGTATCAGCAACAGCCTTCAAATCTGATTCATTGTAGGACTTGCCATCATAGTTTTCCACATAATCTGATTTACCAACATCTTTGTTGTTACCTTCTCTATTTTGGGTATGTGGAATAGTAATATCATCTTTCTCGCTATAACAATCTTCTTGACTACTTAATTTATCTGCTCTTGGTGATTCAAGCGATTTTTTCCCTTGAAACATAGTGTCATAATCACTTCCTAAATGAAAACTTGTAGGACTTTTTGGTGGTAGCCCACCACATTCATGTTCGTGCTTTGACACTGATCCAATATATGCCTCATCAATATTCTTCATCAAGATCTCTCTGGTTGGTCCTTCATGCTCATGAGCAACCTTATTGCCCTCAAATTCTTGCCAACTAGTATTCCCAATAATTCGTGAACTTTCACTTTGGAACACCTCCTCAATATCTTCACATGGGCTATTAGGGCTGCGTTCAATTGGTGACATCTCACCACCAATTTTTGGAGAGTCTTTCGGAGAGTCAGACCAAAACTTACGACCAGAAGGTAGTTGGTCTGGAAAAACATTGCTAGTAGAAAAGGGTGACACATTTGACGATGGAGAAGTATCATCCTTATTTTCATAGACTTTATGTGGAGATGAATCTTCCTTATTAGGGTCGGTTTTAGGGCTATCAAACGAATCACCAGCAGATGAATCCTTAGGTGACCAATCCGGAATTAGAGCCCGAACTTCAGAGTCAATCATGTCAGCAATGGTTGTAATATCTTGATCTGTTAGGTCCAGTTCATGAACCATTTCACTAGCAACCGCAATTGACGTGTCAGCTTCAATGTCAAATGGAAAATGAATATTGCGACATTTATCTGTACCATTTCAAAGTACTTCAATAATCTATAATACATGCTTCATTATAAAATAATAATAATAAATAAAAATAAATAAATAAATAAAATTAAAAAAAAAGAAAAAGAAACAACTAAAATCACATGAAGTGTTAAAAATATACCACTAAATGCACAATCGAAGAACATAGGAAAAGGAAAAAAAAATACCTGTGGAATCAGCTATACGCAATTTTATAAATATTGTGTTGACATCTTTTCGTTCTCCCTGTAGTGTAAGGTCTCTACTTGGCCCGGGATTAGGATTGTCCAACAAAATTCTTTTATCAATATCAGACTCGTTAGTGTGAGAAGACTCTGTAATAATATCTAAATATAATCAGAATAAATGAAATACGAGTAAAGGTTTTCTAATGCTCCTACTTGTCAAAATAACATACCTGAACCTGAATCTAAATGCAGAATATTAACATGTGATGAATGTGCAGTGGTCTCAGGACTAATGTCTAACAAAAAAGGGTCATTTAGGAGGTCTTTGGCGGATAATCTCACGCTCACATCAGCTAAACATTTCTCAATAAATTCTTTGACATCAAGATTTTTCACTTTCGCCAAGGATGCAGGCTTGATTCCCTAGCAAAGGAAAAAAACACCATGAAGGCTATCTATATGTATCCAGAGAAATGCATAGTGCACAATGTAAAAATAGATAAATAAATTATACTTTGTATTTTTTTTCAAGGCATAAAACCCACTAAAAGGTCCAACTTTAACTTCATTCAAAATTTCACATCAATTAAAGAATGCAAATGAAGAGCATTGTGTGAAAGTGATGTTAATATAGTGACGTATTGCTATTTATTTATTTTTAAAAAAGAGAGAGATTACTCGTATGTTAATAAAACCCACTAAACCCACTAAAGGCCATTTATATGGGAAGTTGACCAAGTGAATCAAACAAAACAGGGAAATCAATTCCTTAAAAGTACATAAATCATATTGTCAACTAAAGTCTAATGAAGCAATGGGAAATTGATTCCTAACACAACCAAACGGGCAATTGATCTTCAAAAAAATTCACTATGGAGTACTACTCTATATCTGAAAGGCTATTGAGTGGTAACGGAAATTCACGAGGAAAAACAACGAAGTACATTACAATAAACAATTTACTACTTTCTACCAAAAATGCTGCAAATAAATCCAATAAATAGTTACACAGTATCAACCATCAGGAATTGTTTCCTTTCCTTCACTGATATAAATTAATTGACTACAATTATTGGGTAGCTTAATGCACCATGCCACCATCTTACAACAGATGATACAATAAGCCTTTTATCCTTAGAGAAAGGATCCCGTCCCATAAAGTGTCATCATCAACTCTCATAAGTAAAACTACGGACAGTATCAACATTCTCCAATGATCACAGGTAACTAAACCATACTAGAATAAAGATAATGCAAGGACTGAAACAAAAGAGATACTCTGTACATAAGCAAGACAAATAACCGAAGAATTGGGAGTTTAAGGAAGCTTTTCAATGCCTTACCGATGTCACTTTCTTGTATATTTGAGCAGCATTGGCACATTCAGTATAAGGGTACTCAAAAGTCACTAATTCTAGCAAACACATGCCAAAGGCATAGATATCAACAAGTTCATTGTAATCCTCTTCATAAAGCTCTGGTGCCATAAATTCCGGAGTACCTGAGGTAAGAACAAGAATTACCACAAGAGCTCTACCAACATTCAAGTAATGATAAGAAATAAGGGAGGACTTAAATTTAAAATTCCAATAAAAGGAAATTTATCCTCACCTATGACACTATGTGCTCCATTGGCATGGTGAAGAATTGCGGCCAATCCAAGATCACCAATTTTTAGTTCTCCGCTATTGCCATTCACAAATATGTTATCACACTTAAGATCCCTATGTATAATAGGAGGATCATGACTGTGAAGGTACTGAAGCCCTTCTAAAATTTGTATAGACCATTTCTTCAATGCCCTCAAGTCAACACGCTTATGCTTCTGTCGATATCTACCATGGAATTGAAGCAAATGTCTCAATAAGGCGAACAAAATATCCAAATAACAAGTAGAGACGCGATTAGAAACATACTGGCGAAGGGTGCCTGATGTGAAAATCTCAGTAATGAAGTTGATATGCTCATTCTTTGTGTCAACCCAAGAATTATAGAACTTAATAATGTTCTTATGCTTCAAGGTTTTAAGGAGATGAAC